GACGTGACACTGCCCGAAATTCAAAAATATAACAAATTAAAATACCTCCAAGAATCCTAATGTTACCGAATTTATAACAAATAATAATTAATTTCATTAACAAAATTACAAAATTATCCCTATAAAGTGATTGGTCTAGAGAGATGAGAGGGGAGTCTTTTGTGCTCTCGGTTTTTCTAAGGTTGTAGAGAGTAGTTGCATCCTTAGCATGTTGCCACATATGATTTTTTGAAGCCGCATAAGATTGATAGAATGGTAGCATGTAGGTAAGGAGTAATAGCATCTAAATGTTGATAGATTTTTATTTTGAAAAAAAAATGAAGCCAACCAATGATTACCCTTTCTTTCCTCTTTCTCTTTCTCTTTCCTCTTGCTGCCCGGCCAACGAGCCATCTTTAGCGAGGCACCTAGCGACTTCAATGGGAGTGGTGGAGACAAGGTTAGCGAGCAGGAGGTGAGCTTGGCTAGCGAGCCACTTTCTCCAGACTAAGAAAAAAAGAGAAGATAAGTAAACTAGTAAAGGTATCATCTATCCCTTATATGCTTCCACACTTAAATGAAAGCTCATGCTTTCATTAATTAACTTCAAGACTTGAAATCAACTTGTATGTGTAAGAAGAGGTCAAAGGAAGCAACCAATCATGCCTTGTACTTGGCATGGATGTTTGGAAGAGAACGAGAGAGAATGAGTTCCTAACACATAATTATTTATTATATTAATGTACATAACATTTTCTAGTGGACTTCAATAAGACCAAAATGTTGTACACGACTTATTTAACCATGTCATATGATATAAACTACTAGTTATGATTTTTTTAGTATTATTTTCACAAAAACAATAATTTTCCAATTAAATGCAAGTGTTGATTGAATTTTTTAATAATCATATTACATAATAAATAATCAATTAGTGTTACCTTGTTTTAAGGTGTAACCTTCTTAGATCATATGTTATTAACAAATATCATTTCATAATGATTCTTGAGCATAAAGATCTTTCGCTCTTGTCACACCCCCAAACCGGAACGGCGGAAACGTTCGGGGGTGGTTGACGTCATGCGTAGTATCACAACAATTGTATCATAGCAAGCATAGTAAACACAACCAGACATTGACTACATATATGAAAAAGGTTTACATTGTTTAATATATAGTTTTGTTCATATCAAAAGTAAAATAGGAAGACGTGACTTTAACGCTCCGACTCCTCCAAAATTCCTGGAAGTACCTGTCTACTAATTCCCTGAGAATACAAGCAGTTTTGAAAGAATATCAGCATAAAGCTGGTGAGTTCATAAGCAATTGGTTTTGGTGGAAAGAATGTTCTTTGATTCTTTTGAAAAGTGTTCCTCAAGAAAATCCTATATTTTCTTATGAAAAGCGTGTTTGAAAACTCATTCCTTCCATGACTTCCAGATTCATACATGATATGTACAATCCAAGGTGTCGTGGAATGAATGTGAA